AGCAATAATAGTGAAACACGGGCACCACATTTGCTGTCGTCTCGAGGCAGGAAACAAAGAAAAACTTGAGTGGAGGCCACACGATATGCTCCCCATAATTAAAAGGCAAGGAAACTCTCCAAAATTCCCCCAGAAAGCAAACACACACCCCTCCGAGAAATGTACGTGAGGCGGGTGGGGCTGAGTGGGAAAGAAAAGGTCCTCATTGTGGCTTTCACTGGAACGCCACCCCCTCCAGGAAAAGCTCGCCTTGCAGATACAGAACTGGTTTTCTGCTTCATTTGCTCCAGGCATTCGTCCTCCTCAACCCTGCAAGGAAATCTCTTTTCAGGCAGAGAAGCAGGGAATCGAACCAGAGACTTGTGGAACCCCAAGTCTATCTCCAGGGGATGGTCAAAAACGTCAAAATGGCAAGCAAGCGGGTGCAACTGAAGCTTCACTGGTTTTTTATGTGCCTCACACTTAAAAAAATGGGAGGAGCGTCGATCACGTTGGTGTGGCCGCCATCTTGCCTGTTTTGACCACGCCCTGCGGTCATCCCTGTCCATCCAGCCACTGGATGGCGCTGAGTTTGGAAGGGGTGAATTTTTGCTTGTCTTTGGATTAGGACAGAGGCTGACTTGGAAAAGAATGGACAACTCCTGTAGCTTATGCGTGGTGACAACAATTTCTGCCGTGTAGATGTGTCCCCAGAAAATAGTCCTCATCTATATCATTTCCCCAAATTTAGTCCTAGGGATGAAGGGATATCTCAAAATTGGAGCTGTATGGGGATGATTGCTATTCTTTGCTTTTCTTTGGTTTCTCTTTGTAATATTTGCACCGTTTCTTCAAAATATAATAGTTTTGGAGAAACAAAGAACAGGCTGAATCCCCTTTCTTTGAGGCTGAATCGTTTGGTCTCTCACCCCAAAAATAAATACTTCAGAGATTACCATCCTGTAGTGATTGAAAGCCGTTCCATTAATAAATAACTAACTCGAAATGCCCTCAAAATACATCAAGGGCCTATCGCGTTTTTGGACAGGGAACAGTCCTTCAAAATCATGAACTCAAAGTTCAAATAATGGGTGGAGATACACAGAACACCCTTGACCGACGCTCATGGTTGGAAAATCTGTGATACGGGGAAAAAAAAGCAGTTAAAGACCAGGAGCGAAGTGTGACTTGGATGTGTGACTATAGCTTTTTCCTGCAGAAGGCTGGACTACAGAACCTGTCAGCCCCAGCCCACATGACCAATGATGGGGACTGTAGTTCAAGGCATCTGAAGAAGGACAGGCTGGGAAAGAAGGTACGTGATTCTGTATGGTCTACTGTAGATCAATGTTTCTCAACCTTGGCCACTTGAAGATGGGTGGACTTCAACTCCCAGAATTCCCCAGCCAGCTTTGCCTGCTGGCCCCACAGTGTGTGCCCAGTGACCTGAGGACTGTTGGACCTGCTTATTTTCAGTCTGGGCAGCTGGGGAAAATTAAAGTCCCTGTTTTGCTTCTACAGGCCTCCTCCCTCCATCTGAAGGACAGGCCAATCTTTGGATTTGCAGGAACGGTGTGTGCATCGAAAGTTTCTGTGCAACGCTTGACACCTGTTTGGCCCCTTAAAACCTCACCCACCAAACAAGTGCAAAATTTTAGGATTCATGGACTCAGGGGCACATCTATAGGGTTTCCTCCCCCCCCCCCTCATGATTAAAGGATCATTTCTGGTGGGAATTTTGCAGTCCTTGAGACCCCACAATGAGGAAGCTCATGCTAGAGTTACTGACAAGGTCTTAGCAAGTATTGCCCCTGGAGCTGAGAGAAGGAAGGAGGGGGAGAAGGTTTTTGAGCAAGGAAGGAAAATCCAGCTCGGTTTGCCTGGCACCAGCAGGAACAGGCCAGAACAGGTGCCTCTGGCTGAATCGTAGCAAAGGCCAGCCAGATTTCACCACTGAGAATCAATGCAAGTGATGTTACAGAAGCAGAGACTAAGAGTTGTCAGGAGCTCATTCCATAAAAATGGTGCGCCCCACAAATCTGCTCCTGTGCAACCCTCATCCCTATTCCTGGTTGGATGTCGGCCAGGTGGCAAGTCTTGCGGGATCAGAGAAGGCGGTGTCCTTGCCGTGACGTAATGTTTACAAGGACACCGAGAACCAGAAAGAAAGGGGAGAACAAAGCCGCAACGCCACGCCTGTTTTGTTCTCCAAGAATGAAAGTCAGACACCAGCTGCCGAGAAACGCTTCTGAAGGGAGATGGGGGCAAGTTGTAAAAGACTGAGATCTTTGACCAACATGGAGGAGCGGTTGGTGAAGTGGGCAGAACCAGCTGAGATGGACAAATGGACTTCTTTGATTAGAGAAAGGTCATTATTGACCTTCATCAATGCCTGGAACCCCCGATGGACTTTTTGCATGGGAAAGAAAATGACTGTGATTTATGGTTTTGGTGATTAGAAAGAGTAGGTTATAGAAAGAAGGGGATTATGATGAAATTGGAGAGAGTGGTTTGATTAGAATTGTATATATAACTGCCGAGAGGAAGATCAGAAGCCATTTCTTTATATATGCTTTCTGTTTATTTTCTTTTCCTTTACTCTATCTTCTTTTCTGTTTTTTCTTTTCTGTTTTTTTTTCTTTTTCACATTTACTTCACTATATATTTTTTTCTTTTTTTGAATGTATTTCTTACTATCTATGTAAAATCTTTTTAATAAAAATTATTTGTTTTAAAAAAAAGGAAACGGAGACCTTTGGGTTTTGGGAAAATATGGTTGCCCTGCTGAAATCGAAATGCCTTAGAAAGGCCACCTAGCTTGGCATTGCATCAAGACCCACATCGGAGGACAGAGCCACCATAATGACTTTCTTCACCATACCCTGCAAGCACCCTCATGAAGGATCAGCTTAGAAATGAGATAGATTGATCAGAAACAGAAGTGCCAATGCGCTGTTGATGTTTCCACTGTAGGACGTGGAGAATGTTGGGTGTTGAGAATAGTGACGAGTCAGTAGGTGAGCCCCCATGTTGTTTTCCAGCGGGCAAGGGTGGACAGGAGTGAAATTATGGCCCTTCCCTCTTTAGCTGGCTGATCTCCAAGGCCATCCTGTTTTGCTGCTGATCAGCTGTATCTCAGGAGTGGGACAGGAGGTGAAGAGGAGGCAGGATGGAGGTCACCTAAGGAGACCATGTAGAAGTATCCAGGGCCAGAAATTCCCGAGGCCTAGCTTGTGGTTACTTCTTAACAACCTGGGCTTATGTTTTTCTTAACAAATGCAAAAATATTCAACCAACCAAGGACAAACCCTGGTGTAAGATTCTGGTCTGCTTGGATGCCTGGATCCCAGTATGAGTCACACAAAGGGAATCCTGGATGGAGATCTCTTGAAACGCTCCGACAATGAGCCCCATGGAGCCCCACTGGCTACCATCCCACCTCATTCTCCACAAAGTATCTCCATCAACTTTGACGCCAAGACCGGGTATCCTTCATTTCTATACCAGCAATGAAACCAGTGCTAAACAGGAAGGCATTGTTGTCAGGGAATTTTCTAGTGATAAAAAGGCAGGAGGCGTAGTTTACTAAGAGGTGCTCAACCCAACTCTGACCTTAAGTTATGGTGGGAAAAATAAGCTCCATTGTGCCTTTGGTCAATATTATCTTTAACAAAGGAGCTTTTCCTTGGTAAGCAATATATACACCTGACTTCCTCTTTCCAGCATAAAGCAATTCTAGATCTTAGCTAGTGTTGCCCGAAATTTAGCGCAACTTTTCTGACACCTCCAGAGTTCCCAGGCTTGCCCACAATCTTCATGAGTTTTGGACTCTCAGTGCCTCTGGGTGGCATCAGGTTGGGAAAGAAGGATTCAGGGAAACCCCAAAGGTAAACTGTGGACATTTCCTTATGAGGCTGTTTTGCCTCTCAAATTAATATGGTGCACGGAGGAGAAGCAACTAGATCAAGAAAGCCAGTGCCCGATCTGTTAGATTTGCACTTCTGCAATTAAGTGATTTTGTGTGTTTGGAAGACGCGAGAGACCTCAGCTCTGATATCCCGTTGATCAAGTGAGAAAAAATAAAATTGAACCAAAAAACCATCCTTTCTCCTCTGCCACTGAGACAAAACAATCTTGCGGAACATCAGACTTTAAATCGAGCTCCTGCCACAAGTCAAATGAGTCATTCGCACTGAACAATACTGGAGGTAATTATTTGGTATGTAAAAGTCAGAGCAATTATACTGTAGACACCAGCAAAAAGACAAATCTAGCGGTTGTCTTGGGACTACGTTCATATCTAACGCTGGTTTGGAAAAGCTTTTCTGTGACTCTATACCCCACCCAAACCCTGTAACACGTTTCTCCCATGCAAAAAATTTTTTTTTCCCATCTATGTTTGCACATCATGATTAAATAAAACATGTTACTCAGTTAAGCCAATTGCCTGGGTTCGATAACACGCTCAACCATCAGCGGTGCTCGCTTCACGCCTAATAGCTAGCCACAAGCCAGCCAACCGCGTTTTCGTTTTATTGCACTGTGCAAATGCCATCTCTGGCGCCTTTCTGAAGGCAATTTTTCAGGCAGACCTTGCTATTTTGCTGTGGGAGCCCTCCTTCAAACAAGAGGCCGCTGCAAGATTAAAGGGACGCCCACCACCCTCTTCCTTTGAAGGGAAAGAGAAGAGGGAGCGTTGCCTCCCCCGTTCTGGCCTGAAATGCTGTGCTTCAAGGTGCACCAGAGCTCTGCCCCCAGAAAACATGGCAACCCTAAATTCAGCAGGAAAAGCCAAACCTAAACAAGCTACATTTGCTCCAGATCCAATGGCCTGGACAGTGAAATACAACAAACCTTTTTGGGGAGAGGCTGTTAAGAGTCACTATTCCTGGGCTGAGCTGTTTCAAGAGAGAGAAAAGAGTGCATTTCCTCAGACCCGGATCCAGCCTTGCTGCAAAAAAACTCAAAGCAAAGGAGAGGGTTTCTTCCTTCTCAGAGAAGATCTCTGAAGTTCAGCTTACCTTACAATCCAGAGTATTCTGCGTTTCTTGTCGTTCCTCCCCACCTGCCCCAAACCGCTCTGCAAGCCGCCTTTCAGCTCAGGCTGGCACCTAACGCTGCCAGCTGTTGTGGTCTCTTTGGCCGAAGGGGCATGTCACGCAGGAGGTAACTGAAGTGGTTGCTAACGTGGAACCCTCCCTTGATCGGCCACACCCAGCCTTTGCAATGAAACTCCCTGGAGGGTTAGTCGAAGCAGCTGGAATGTGCCTCCCGTCCTCCGCTGGGTTCAGCGGTAGGAAGAGGAGAAAGAGATTGAGAAACTCCTTCCCGTTTGAAGCTGGATTGCGGGTGTCGTTGGAAGGGTCTTCTTGAAAATGGGAAGCCTGATCCAAGTTGGGCCGGATGTTCTTCTCACCTGCGGAGAGGTGCCCATCTCTAAAATGAGGAGTGGGAAAGACCCTCCCTGGGCTCACAGATGTTTGGTGAAAAAGCAGCTTTTCTGCAGCTCACAAAAGCTTCTGCTTTTTAATCAAATGTGTGTGTTGGAAAAGGGGCTCCTGGACTTCCTTTCTGGCTACCGTAGATGAACACGGCTCTCCTCCTCCAATATCTTTGAAATGAGAAATCTTGCAAATGGTTTAGGAACACCGTGGGTCCATTTGGAAGGAAGATCCTACACATCACATGTTCAGAAGCCCTCAAACTTTTGTGTGTGTGTGTGTGTGTGTGTGTGTGTGTGTTTCATGGTATATCTTACCTTGATGGTACTAAGGGCACAAGTGACAAAAGAAAGCATATCTACAAATGCCAATTTTCAGCAAAAAGAAGGCATTTCTTCCTCCAAATGGGTCTAACAGAGAGCAGTATTTGTCCGTGGCGCAATGATGTTCTCAGCTTCAAACAAACGGGTGCTGGAGGTGGGGAATCAAGAGCCATTTTGTGTTTACACACCTGGCCTATAAACCAGACTGTAGGAAATGAAGGATGAAGACCAGACTGGAAAAAGTGATTGCTGATGCTTCAGTGTAGGACTGATTGATTGTAAGCCATCAAGTTGTTTTCGACTCCTAGTGACTGCATAGACCAGTGTTTCTCAACCTCGGCAGCTTGAAGATGGGTGGACTTCAACTCCCAGAATTCCCCAG